GCATAGATAAGTAAATGGAACAAGAGCTGATGGAAGGGAGAACAGCAAGGAGGAAGAGAAGGATGGATAAGGGGGGAGGAGATGTGGGAGGAGGGAGCCTCTAAAATGACTAGTGATGATCTCACCTCCTGAAACTCAGTGCCTATTATACTGTTTTACTTGGGTAACTTGTTTTTACCCAATAGAAACTAGGAATATTGTGGGAATATTATTTCTGCAGTTTGGTTACAAAGCACGGACTTCTGTCTTGCTCCCGCATCCCACTCTCTCTCTGACATTGATGAAATATGCCACCATGAAGAGCCTCATGAGGCGAGGAAGGGAGATCAGTCTCCAGTGAAGAGCCAGCAGGGACAGGAGAAGCCCAATGACCCTTACAGAGCCCCACGCTGCCAGCAAGGCAGTCAAAGCCTGGATGAAACCCCAGTCCAAGCCAAAGCCTTGACGGTTGTGTGAGAGGCTGAAGATCCAGCTAGCTGTGCTCAGCTTTCTGACTCACTGAAATGGCGGGATAAGAACTTTTTGTTGTTTTAAACCATGATATCTTGATATTTGTTATCCAGTGATAAATTGAGTAATATTATTTTATGAAAACTCTAACAGTTATACATCTTTAGATGCAGATAAATTTGGTAAGGGTATATTTAAAGCTTTAACTGCTTATACTTTCTTTCCTATATCTACAAGCAAGAAGCCTCTCTTTTTTATATATTCAGTTGCTGGTAAGGGAAGAAAGGGAGATTATTTTTTTGAAGAACAGAAAAAGTAATAATACCTAATACTCAGATCAATTACTGCATACGAGGCAGTGCTCTAAAATCTTTAGATCTATTAAGTCATTTAACATTCACAAAATTCTTCTGTATTAGATAACTACTATTATTCCCTTTCTGCAGAGGTGGAAAATGAACAGAGAGAAATAAGCTGTTTCAGCTGCAACAAGTTACTATGCATTATATCAAATCACCCTCTAGGTGGGTGGAAACTTCCAACCCAGATGTGTCTGGTTCTGCAATCCTCACTATTAAATAATGGTAGAGCTAATAAGCAACTAATCGATCATAAGTGAAATATAACAAGCATTACTACATGAAGCAACATCCTAACATAGCCAAACAGACAAGTGCTACACATTCGGTATCTCATTTTACTCCAGTAAAATGAGCAGTGACAGCAGTATTGCTTAATTAGGTAGCCTGATTTTACAGAGAGTGAAAGTTAAATAAGAGATATTTGTAAAAGGGGAAAAACAAAATACGTGGCTCACAGGCTATTAGTTAAATTACAACCCCTACACTCCCCCCCAAAAGTTGAAGTCCTAACTACTAGTATGCCAGAATATGACTATTGAGAAATAAATCTGTGGGATATAATTAAGTTAAGGTCATACTAGTTTCAGGAAATAGAGATCAAACTTAACGCTAACAGTGTACTTATAAGAGGCACAGACCCACATTGGAGAGAGGAAAACGTGGTGTGAAGACCCGAGACAAGGAGAAACTGCCTCTGTGAAGACAGTGGCAGAGCCTGGAGTTATTCGCCCCAAATCGAGGAATACCTGGGGCCATCAGAAACTGAAAGAGGCAAGAAGGATCATCCACAGAGGCTTCAGGTGGAGCAGGGCCTGCCGGCACCCTGGCATCAGACCTCTGATTCCAGAACCAGGAGAAAACATTTGCTTGTCCTACGTCACCCAGTTTGGGACAGTGTTATGACAGCCCTTGGGAAGCGACATGAGGTCTAAGTGTTTGAGGGAAAAATAAAAACCCAAAACAGATTATCTTAAAATACTGAATAATGAGTGTTTAAGATGCTCCACAAAGTTGTTTTTTTTTTTTTTTTCCCAATTTCCCTGTCTCTGAGGCATGTTAATATTATGCCCCGGTAGGCTGTTGCACAGGATTAAAATAAGTGTATTTCCCCGGGGTGCTTATTTTACGGGGAATGTGTAATTAGTTTAACTGGTAAGTAATTAAGGCACTAAAAGTGACACATTTAAGAGAAAAGAACACACTTGGGTCTTGTCGTTGCCGTTTTTGTTTGGGGTTTTCAGGCCATATTCTCAGGCTGTCAGGGTAAAGACGTCTGTGACTGGGAAACATCAGGCTAAAGCTAAGGTCAACCCAAATTTATTCACTTGGGCTCAACGGAAAACTGTGGTTTTCAGAATGGCAGGTGCAGGGAGCTCCCTCTTTCCACCTCACCTGAGAAGGTCTAGATGAACTGTCAAGGTGGAAAGAAACTATTTTTAGTCAGCAACCCCCTACTCTCTCCCACCTGCAACAGAGGGGGTAGTGGAGGTACCCCAGTCTCCTGAAGAGAGAATTGCTTGAAACAAGCAAGCAGAGCCTCCAACACAGCAGAAAACCTGGGCAGAGCACATTTCCTGATCTTTCTGGTAAAGCTGCTCAGAATTGCTTATCTGTGTGTCTTTGCCTCAACAGGTTCACACTCCATGATGTGACAGCTAGGATTCCCCAGAGATACCTTGACTTTTTAAGTACTGTTGACTCTCCTTTTCTCATTTGAGTCTTACTAACAACCTTTCATCACACTGAAAGCCAGCTGGTATGCTCAGACGCAGGAAGTCTCTGGATGGTGGTCTGGGGCATCACTCTGGCTCTTCAACAAGTCACTGTAAGCAGCCACTAATCTCACTGAGTCCCAGCTGGTTGCCTCTTTTGTAAGATGGAGCTACTGATAACTACTTGAATAACTGTTGAGGGGATTAATTGTGACGTATTACCACATGATGTGCCTTGTATTTTGTGTTCATAAAAAGGCTGGCTTTTACCCAATGGACCCCAATGAGTCATCTTGCAGCTAGAGTTAACTCCAGCTCAGATGGGAAAGTGGTTTGCCTAAAGTCACATTTCTGATTGACTCACTCAGCAACTTTTACATGCTGTGCTAACAGATGTGTCAACAACATATGACACTGTCCTTCAGGGAAGTTCATAGTCCACTGGTGAAGATGGTAGGGAAGTACACAGTGAAAAGCTAAGATGGTATGAGCTTTGTGAGAAATCATCAAATTGCAAGCCCTGATACTTGCTGAGCACTGCAGTGAGTTATTGGGGGTTCCCAGGAGCCCAGAGAGGGAAAAGCAAATATCTCACCTGTCCTGGACCTTCAAGTTTGTCTTCACCCAGTGGCTGCCAATTTTGAATAAAATCTGCCCCAGTCCCTTCAGTCCGGACTCAGCCCCTTCTCCAGCCAACTCCTTACTCAACTTATTCCTGGTTGTCTGTCCACGCTCTGGCTGGCCCTGGACTGCAAGTGGATCCTCAAGAATTTGGGAAATTTCAGAGGTCTTATGCCAAAGCAGGCACCAGGAACTTTCAGGCTTATGCAGAGGATGCTATGGAGTATACCAAGCCAGCCTCCCATCTCCCTGAATATCTGAAATGCTGGGAGATGGGGTTTCTGGAACCAAAAGTACAGAGGGTATAAGAACTAGTTACAACTTATAAAAGCAAAGAAGTTACCATTCTAGGGCAAGCGGGCAGCAGGCAGGGCAGTGAGAGGGGCCAGGAGGCTCAGGAGGTGACCAAGACTCCCGGCCCCCAAGAAGCTTTACACTCTTTCGCTGGTGTTCTCTTGTGGTCTTGCCTCATCTGTAGTCAAGCCAAGCTGGTCCTTGTGTAGCTGTAGCTTTTAGCTTAGTTCTAGGCTCAGGTGTGCACGCTTACGCATGCGCACACACCCACAGTCCAGGTGTCCACAATTAGGCACACATGCCCTGCACCTACACTCCCAAGTGCCTCCGGCATTCACATGATCAAGGCCACAGGTAATTGCCACAAAAGCTAGAGTTGTAAAAAGCCTGATTAATTCATTTACCCTACACCACTAATTAAATGTATTCCACTATACTATATTCACAATTTCATTTAATCTTCATTACAAACCTCATGTCCATTTAGAGATAAGAAATGTGCAGGAGAAATTAAACAAGGTTAAGAGAAATTAAACAAGGTTAAGAGAGGTGGGTTCCAATTTGAGTCTTCTGATTACAAACATGTGATTTTGCTATTTACCCACCTAGGCACTGATGGTGCCTTGCCTTGTGAGTCCTTATGGGTCTTTATGAGAATTAAGAGAGCTAAGCATGTGTTTAGCCAGACATTACCAACTCAGAGATTCTAGTTTTGCGAGTTATTGTTTCTTGCTTCATCATTGTGCAGGGTCACATACAGAAGTGGATTTTCATCCTATTTCAACCCCCTCCTCACTCATTAAGTGTATCATATGATGACCTGTGGGAGCCAGTGACTGACCCCAAACTATCTAAGGGGTCACAAGTCTTTGTCAGTCAGTAGACCAGATGATCAATTCCCACCTGGGAAGTCTTTACCCTTTCCCAGCTCCCCCTAACTCCCATATTTGCAGAGTGAGTTCCCATATTTACCTGTGCTGTTACTTCCAGCTGAATAGGCAAGAGACACCTTCACAAGCACAATTTATGCATCTGATAAACTCATCTCTCAGATGGTGTTTTCCAGGGAGTGATATGGGGTCCAAAGTACCACCTTTCTAAGCAAGTCCAAGTTCTATGCCTACCCAAATGGAAGCTGCATTGCTTCCACCCCATTTGTCAAATGAGAGAGCTGAGCTTCAGAGAGCCTTTCCGCAAGGTGCAAGCTTTGCTGAGGACTATTTCTGGAGGTCAAGCTTTAGTGGAGAGGTTAATTGAGCAGATTTGCGACACGGGTGAGTTCTAGTTTAGTTCCCAAGTGGCGGGATGAACTTGAGCAGGCTGCTTTCACGTCAGTTTCTGTAACTAAACAGTGAGGACAGAAAGCCGAATTAAATGTTATTAACGCTGGCTGCTCACGAGGAACGCGCAGCCCTACATAGCACTGGGCCCCAGCAGTCGGGCCCGGATGACTACAAGTCCCAGCATGCTTCGGGGGGGTGGGGCGCTGCGACGGACAGGCGACTCTGCGAATTGGCGCCCGCCCAGCCGCGCGCGCGGTAGCGCATGCGCAAAAGACGGCGGGCGGGTGGGCTAGCGACGGTGGACGCGTCGGAGCCGCGGGCGGTCAGGTACGGGGCGGGAAAGAGGGTCGGCGACAAGCATCTGCGGCCTAAGTTGCGGGCGGTGGCTGCGCGGCAGGTTGCGGGGCTGTGCCGGCGGACAGCGGCCGGCCCATGCCTGATTGGCCGGGTCTGGGGACCAGATCTGAGGGGCAGGGCCGGGTGGGGGTGGGGCTGTGGGGAGCCAGCTGGGGAGGGGTTCGGTGGGGCGGAAGAGCACGGAAGACTTGCAGCTCGGGGAGGGGAGCGAGGGGCTCTGAGAAGATGAGCCTTGCAGCAGCTCGGGAGGTATGAGGTAATGTGGGGACCCCCGAGGAAAGGCGGGGTGCAGCATCTGGGAGATGGGACGGAATCTAGGGCCCTGGAGGTACGTGGGGTGCAGAATTTCGTGAATGTGAAGGAATTGGGGGCCTTGGTGAGATTTGGGTGTCGAATTTCGGGAAATCTAAAGGTATTGGGGTACTCTGGAGAAGAGCTGCCGTCAGAGTGAACAGGGTCTGGGGCTATACTAATTTGGGGAAATCCATTTCCATATGGAATCTGGGGGAAACTGCTGGGGTGAATTCGTGGGGGAATCTTGGGAAGTGGTAAAGAAAGGACCTGGCTAAGGTTGGAGGGCAACATGTGACAGGGGGTGGGAAAAAACGCAGGAGCTAGGTTGGAGGGCCGCATGGTGCTTGAGGCAACAGAAGGTGGGGGCTTGGATTGTGGGCAGCAGTCTGAGAGATCGGGTTGGGGTGTAAACTGCCAGGCTAAATTGAAGGCCGCAGAGATTAAAGAATCTATACCAGAGGGATTTTCCCTTGATTGAAGAATTGGTGAGGGTTGCAATGTAGAGCCCACAAGGGCTGAAATTCTGTATTGAAGATGCATGCGACTAGGAGGTGGAGGGGTGGTGAGGGGTGTACTAACTGGACTGTAGAATTAAAGGACTCTGAATATAGTTGTGGATTGGTGTCTTGGCGTGCTGGGGGAATTTTTCTGTGGTCTCTGCATCGAAAGCTAAGGAAGGAAGCAAAGGACCTCCAGGTATCATGAGACCTTATGAAGTTTAGCAGGATTCATGGTTCAGCATCGAATTCATAAGTCCACAAATTGGACTCCTGAAGAAGCCTGACATTCCCCGGAAGGGATGAATTCCCCTCACCTGCTAACCAAAGACTTTGTATCATGGGGCAGTCAGGCCACTGCCACCAAGTCCACTCTGCCCCAGAGCCTGAGAAATGGAGGAGGTTTGTGGGGGACGAGAGAGTGGTTACAGGGGCATCAAGCAGGGAAACTATTCAAGGTCATCCATCTATGCTCCTACCCTTGTTCCTCCGAGCCATGATAGCAGATAGTGTGTGTGAGAGCTTGAGGGGGTGAGTGGGACTTGAGCTCAAGGCCAGATTCGTTTCCTGAGTTGTGCAGTAGATTGAATTCTATACTGTAGAAGTTTGTTACAGCTTGAAGAGGTAGTGACTTTGTGAATGAGGCATTTGAGGCAGGAGTGTGACAAGAAAAGAGGGACATGTGTGTTGAGCATTCAGCCTTGTGCCAAGTTCTAAAGCTGGGGATGGATTTGCCCTCTATGAGATAAGGTGTCAATGTCTGGAGACATTCTGGGTTGTCAAGTTGGGGTGTGGGGTGCTTCTGTGCTTCTAGTAGATGGACAACAGGGATGCTGTTACAAGTCCTACAGTACTCTGGACATTCCCTCACCCCCCTGACCCCCACTACAAAGTGGCTCAAAGTGAATGTCAGCAGTGTCAAAGTTGACACTGCTCTAGAGTCAGAGAGCCTGACTCAAGTTCTGGCTCGTACCTGTTCTTGACTTGTGATCTTGAATGAATTACTCACTCTCCCTGGGCTTGACTCTTGATCCTAGTCTTAACCTATTCCCCGCTAATGAAAGAATTGCCTAGTGAGTACCAATGAATATCAAACTGAACTCTAAAGGGGTTGATCTATCTCATCATGCAGAGAGTAGCCCAGTGTTTTGCCCTTGCTTCCCTTAGACAAGGACCAGGGGTGCAGAAGAGGAGGAGCTTAGCATTAGTAGACAGGATGAGGTGCAATGGGACTACAGGAGGCCACTGTCTTAAACATAAATAAATAAACAAAACACTCCATAGAAGGGACTGAGGCTGAAGGCAGCCATACTCTGAATTATAATTCCTCTACTGAATTATAACTTGGAGCTTCTTTCCCCTGGAACAGAACAAAGCATTTGCTCTGTTAGCCCAAGAACTAAGTACAGTATTGCTGAAGCCTGTTCAGAAACAGTCAGGCTGCATTAGAAGTCAAGTGATTTAGCTGGAATATCCTCACACACCCCTAATGAAAATACATACTGGAATTGAATCAGTCTGGCAGTCAGAAGCTTGAAGTCCAAAATCCTTCCTCGCTGCAAACTTACTTGTTATTTGGACAAGCACTTGGTTTTATCAACCCCACTCTATTAAAAATGTGAACAGCTGTACCATTAAACACTTATGTACATGATCTCAGTTAATATTCCTTTGACAGCTGATCCTGTCAGTAATCTAGGTATTATTCCCATTTAACTGATGAGAAAATGAATGGGTTAAATGATTTATCCATGGCCATGCAGTGAGTGGCAAAGTGGGGATGTGAGCCAAGTCTCTGACTCCTAGGTTACAGTGTAGTTTTGTTAGACTGTTCCAGCACTGGAGAGCACATACTCCTGTGTCTGAAGAGCCCTTGAAGTGCATCTTTGTCCATACACTGAGGTACTGCCCCTGTGACACTCCCTCTACTAGGTCTGCCTGGTAAAACAGTCAGATTTAAAACATCAGTACTAGATTACTTCAGCCAGACTACCTGGAGGGAATCGTAACGAAACCAACGGGAGAATGCTAACACACTTTCCAGTTGGTGGATTTATGGCTGAGAGGTATGACACCTGGATTTGAATCTCAGTTCCACTACTTCTTCACCAGCTTTGAGGCCATGGACAGCTTATTTTTCTGAGCCTTGATTTCCTTATTTATAAAGAGGAACAACATATACTTTGCACAATTATTTCAAGAATAAGAAAAAATAAAAGTTGCCTAATGTTCCGTAAATGGTAGTTTTATGAGAGGTAGCAATTATGAGACTGAGGCAATACTAGAAAGGAACTAAAAATGCTTTGCCAGATTTTAATGGCCCAAAGAAGTCTCTTCTAGGGTCCTCCAAATTCCCATCTTCACCTGCCTTTCCCAGAACCTGCTTCCTGACCCTTAAATCAAAGTCACACGAATGAACTTGTGCTCTGTTCAGAGAAAGGCACTGGAGCCGAGTGGAGTGAGATGAGTTGAAGGTCCCCGAGAAAAGACTCTTTTCCCCTTGTCCTGTATTCTTGAGTCACATTGGCAGCAGCATCTTAGCCAAATGTTTGTGGAAGATTCAAGGGGACCTTTCTAGGCCCTCTAGTTTTAGAAGCAAGTGCTTTCCCAGCAAACTATTTTTGATATGTTATTCACGTATCATTACCTTTGCTGTGTTTTAGCTAAAGTTTCCTTTCCCACAGACTTTTCTTTCTGGGTTATTTTATTTGTTCCACACTAGTACAGCTTTGGAATCAGGCGCATTTCCTTGTAAGCCCCTTTGACTCGTTGAGTTTCTCTTAGCTCTTTGCAGATGCCTTAAATGCATAGAATCCTGTCCCACATGTGGTGGGATCTCACTGACCACCTTAAGATCTGTCCTAATGGCCACTCCCTGAGAGTGGCCTTTGGTTGGTGGTGTCAGGGTAGTGCATTTGGTCAGCATTCCATTCAGATGCAGAAGGGATAGATGCAGTGTAGAAAGCTGTCGTGAAAGGACATGGGATAAGCCTTACAAAAGCCCATCCAGCCAGGGGACTGTGTCAGCAGTAGGATGGACTTGTATGTCTTGTGAAATGAAGTACGCTATTTTATGTTTTCCAGTTTTTATGGGAAGAATCATGGTTATCTTTGTTTTTGCTCAGAATTCTATCTAGTATTCTCATGGAACTGGCCTCATTAAGTAGGTGGTGCTAAGTAAAGATTATTTAATTGCTTAAATTTCTCCAGTTTGGCTTAAGTCCCCCAAGAACTAAATGAGGTATAGGAAATAGAGGCATCTAGAGAACTATCTCATGAAGGGGCTCAAGCACTGGGTGGAGATCTGAAACCTTAGGTCATCTCTGACCCTTTGGTTCTAGACCAGCTCAGACTGTCTAGAGAAGGCTCTTGAAATACATGCCTGATACCTTAGGGACAGTCTGCCTGAACAGGGCCAGTTCACGCCTCTCTTAGGCTGGGTGGTGGTACCACCAGTGCTGCTGCTAACTTACGCACAGGTGACTGTATGCCAAGCCTGGTTCTCAACTGAGTGCTGTCTACATATAATGTCATTCAGTCTTTACAGTAACCTTATGAGAGAGAGATAATCTTAAAGCCTTTTTTCTTGGATAAACTGAAAACTAAAGAAATTAGCTAACATGCCCATGTTGCCACAGGAAATGATAGAGCTGGGATTCAAATCCAGAATGCCTTATTTCTGAGTTCACTTTCTCAATCTCTACACGACTGAGACCCCTACTTCCTGTTCTGCTTCTGCCCTGTGACTTGTGAGATCTTATTTCTGCTCCTGATCGTAGTTTACTCTTTGAGTTCACTCCTAGTCCTAGCACCCATAGTTATTCCTTTTTAGAAGGAATTATAGCAGCTTATTTTCTGGGCAAGTTGTGAGTTCATCTGTCATCACTTTTTTTTTTTTAATTTATTTATGTATGCATATAAGAACTGGGGCACAGGCCAGAGGTGTGGGGAGTGAGAGGATTCACCAGAGACAGAGTGGGGAGCAGAACAGGCAGACTGACTGAAATACACTGTTGAGGAGAGGGGAACAGCAGGTCAGGAGAGATCTGCCATGCCATGTGGATCACCTCTCTGGCCAGCTGGGAATCGAACTTGTGCTGCAGTGGCTGCAGACTACCCCATAGTGCCGTGCTTTTAACCCGTTGTACCACCAGGGAGGGAAGTATCATCACTTTCTAATGCGGATGTCTCATGTACTCAGAGATCAGACTACTTCAGAATTGACCAAACCCTCTACAGACCTTTACTTACCATGAGAGGAAAGAGTCTTCATCTCTTCACAACTGTTTGCAAGTAAAATGCTTTGTTAATATATGTAGTAGCTGTTATTGCTAATATTACTCCTGATTTTACTAAAGTGATATAACTTGGCAATTTTTTATTATTCCTACCAATTTTTAGGCTAGGTACTTTGTGGGCATTTTCCCTAGTTATCACAGTAACCATTTTTATAAGGTAAGGAAAGAGTGCAGTCAGGCTAAACATCTTGCTTGCTCTGCCACAGCTTATCAGTGCCGGTGCCTATTTGATCTCTGACTTCAAGGTTCATGGGTTTCTTGTTTGTCTTTTGCTTTTTTTCTGCTACACTGGTTATTTATATCATGGATTGGGAAGCAGCTAGATCAGGCGGGGTCTGTGTAATTATAGAAATTTCCTGAGTTTTGGAGTAGTCTCAGCACAGCTTGAGGAATAAATTCTCATCTAGGGCTGAAGAGCGAGGATAGTGTCAACATGGTATTAATACTGCATTTTTAATCATGAGCTCAAGGGAGTGGGGGGCGGGTGTAAGCTAGATAAGTGAGGGGTCAAGAGTTGACAGTACAAAGGACACTACAGAGAACGTGGGCAGCAGGCAGGGTTCTTTCTCATTCGTTTTAGAGTTTAACTGGCAGCTAACTGAAAGACTGGGGGGTAAGCCAGTTCCTTCCTTCTGTCTAGATTTCTCAGGGAAACTGAGTTTGAATGAGCCTTCTGTCTGAGTCATTCCAGCACTAGCAATAATGCCCAGATGTAGCCTTGTGTATAAAGGAGCAGGGCTTTATCTCAGACTAGGATCCTGCTTTGAGTGGGGTTCCCAGGTCACGGAACGCGCGGATGTGGTTCACGTTCTCTCCATGCCCGATGCTTTGATGAGGGTCTCATGTTCCCTGGCAAAGCATGGCAGCTTCAGGGAAGGAATTGTTGACATTCTCTTCTGCCTCAGAGAGCCTCATGAAGTTGCAGATAGCTGAAATAATTTGGTTTTTGAAGGAGTTGGCTTAGATAGGGAGGGAGGAAGCTTTTTAATTTAAGGAGGGGTGGTATGATATTCCAGAAAGCTGGGTAAAGAATCTGTTGGTATTTTTACAAGTTGGCAGACTTGTTTAATTAGCTGATATGCAGTGCCAGCTATGGGAAGAACAGATGTCCCTGTGCATTGTAAGGTAACATGCTCTGGATCCAAACACCAAATGTTGCCCTCAGTCTGTTGTCCCAGATGAAGGAAGAGAGAACTTAAGCTGTTGGTGTAGAATTGAGAAGGCTTGCCCAGATCCCGAGTGGAGGATTCTATCAGTATTTCTGTACTGTTGGCCCCAGACTCATGGCATTTAAGGATTCAGCATTCACAGTTTCAGATACTGACACGGGGCAACTGGGCTGCATGATAAGTGATAATTGATTATCTGTTCAGGAATAGATTTGAGTTATAATACGTTGCAAGACTGGTGTATGGAAGTGAGTGACTCAACTAATACATCAATCTAGCCCATTCTATAAGAGCTGAATCTTTTAACTATATTATTGTTCTTGTACAGAAAATTATATGCTATAAGGCAACATTTCATGAGTAAGGTTTAGAGAACCGTCACTAACAAGTGTTGTAGGACAGCAAAAAAAAAAAAAAAAAAAAATCTTCAGGGCCACCCTGGTGGCCTAAGGGTTAAGTCTCAGAGCTATCACCTGTAAGGCTTCGGTTTGATCCCTGCCAGGAGCTGACCCACATGGTGCAGGAGACCCCTCCTTAGTCACTGCTTCCCTTAGCAGTGTTTCAGTAGATCTGCCTGTTCTGCTCCTCATTCTGTCTATAGTGGATCCTCTCATTCCCCCCCACACCTCTGGTCTAAACCACAGATCCTCCATGCAAAAAAAGGAAAAGCTGGAAGACGTTGGGTTAAACAAAGTTAAAGATGGCCATTTTGCAGCTTTCTACCACATCTGAACTGAGTGACTTGTGCTAGTGCTTTTGAGCCTGAGTTTCCTCATCTGTAAAAATAAGATAAAAATAGGACCCACTTCATGGTGTCATTATGAAGGTTAAATGAGATTAAGTATATGAAGCATGTAGCACATAATAGGTATAGATGTATGTGATGTCCCTTCCAGTAGAAGGGAACGGGATTTCTAGGAAATGGGATTGACTTCACTGATATTTGGCTATTTGGCCAACTGTAGTGCAGAGCTAAGTATGGGGGGTATTTTCATATAAAAGCTCTGTTTTTGTATGAAAGCTCTGACTCCCCCTTTTCAGTATTCATATAGAGCGGGTAGCATTTGCGGGACTTTTTCAGTCTGCTGCATTGCCCTTACACCAACTTAACCTGCCCTTGCCGACCTTCTCCTTGGTGATTGCCTGCATGTCACAAGACTGCACAGGTACAGCTGTAGGATTTGAATTAAAGAAGGGCCGAAATTATCCTGCGCCTCACCTTGCAGATCTAGTCATTCGAATTTGGGGTATAAACTGACAAGGACATAAGGCAGAAGATCACTCGGTGGTTCTACTTCATGAACATATGTGGCTCAAGGAGGGTGGGCAGAAGTCTCCACAGCACATACAGCAGGGCTGTTTCAGGCTAAAAGTAAACGCTGTGCAAGGCACCACCATGTGTTCAGTTATCCAGACCGGCTATCTCAACTTCTTCACTTCACCCTAATATACAAAGCTCAGGAATCTTAGGATTGTGCCTCTGAAATCGCTCAAAATGCACCATTTCCATTACTGCCGCCTGCTCCCTAGTTCAGACTCCCCAGTGCTCCCCTAGGCAGTTTTGCTTTCCAAACTAGTGTATCTGCCTTAACCCTACTTCATTCAACCTTTAATCATATCAGTTCCCTGCTCTGCAAAATGTACTGCTTCTTTGTGCCCATCAAAATGAAGTTCAAAGGCCCATTTTGTCTCTAGTAATCATTCTCCCCACTTACTTTCAACACTCATTACTCTGATTTCCCTATGGTCTCATAATTTTAACCTAAGAATGAGAGAAAAGAGAACCAAAATGTGTTTATAACTTTGTGAGGCTCAGCCAAAGCTTTGCGTTGTATACATATATTATGTTGTTTAATCATTACATTCACCTTGTGAAGGAAGTATTTTCATTTTCCAAATGACAGTGCAGACCCAGAAGCTCTATGTTCTCTGTTCCTTGTACTTTGAAGGTGCTATCTATTTCCTTTCCCTGGCTTTCTAACTTTGGTCAGAACATGCCCTTTGCTTGCCACGCCCTGTGGCCCCTCCATATACCTCTGTGTCCATTTTGAGTCCTCATCAAATGCTTTCCCACCTCTGGAAATGCTGTTTGCCCTGAAGTTAGAGTAAATCCCTCAGAGCCACCATCAGACTTAGTTTACATCTTATTTATGGTACTGCCTTCTGCCTTGATTACAGTTCACCTACATGTCTTGCCTCCTTCCCTAAACTTTGAGCATTTGAAAGGACAGGATTTGTGTGCAGAAAACCTTAGTATCTATCAAATTACATAGTACCTGTCTTAGGTGGATGGATAAGGGAGTCAATAGGAGAGATGAATGGAAACTACATGTATTTTCTGACCTAAAGTTTTACTGATTTCCTAAAGCTAATCATCATGATTTTCTATTTTTTTCTGGATGATTTGTAGGCCCCAAACATGAAGTGATACAGCACACACACAAAAAGCCTCCCTACTTTGCTCACAGTTTTCTTCTCTTAAAATGCCTTTGTCATTGTCTTGTTTCTCTCTCTCAGGGATGGCAGCTGCTTCTGGGATGCCTTGGCCACTCCCTGTAGGCAGAATCCTTTACTTTGTCCACATGCTCCTGCAGAACTTTGTGTGTAATCTTTCCCTTACATAATTTTCTATGCTTTTTCCTAATGCAAATTGAGTTGTAGGTTTCACAAAATAGACAACCATTTACATTTATGAAACACGTTACCTACCAGGTGGCTATAGAAGTGTATCATAGTCATATTACTATCCCTTCTGTGCATCTGTAAGGTAGACACCATTATTAAATCTGTCTTATAGGTAGGTGTTGCTTTTGGCAGACAGCTGAGCTTTGGAGAGTTTAGTTTACCCCCTCACAAGTCACATCACTAAGGCCTATCAGAGCCTGCTGAAGCTGAATGCATCTACTTTGTTTTCCTGTGAGCTACCATCACCTAGCAGAGTCAAGGTCAATCAGAGTTGTTAAATAAGCCAATGAGTGAGTGATGGTGGCTGTTTTCTAAATATATCTGAAGTAAATTAATTCATACCGGCAACAGAATAATGACTTCTTTTTCTCCTCAGAAGGACTTGACCCTCCAGAGCATGAATGCTAAGCTGTTTAGTTCCGAGCTGTGCTAGCAAGACCCTTCAAAGAAAGAGCAATGGCTGCTGCAGCAGCTTCTCATCTGAACCTGGATGCCCTCCGGGAAGTGCTGGAGTGCCCCATCTGCATGGAGTCCTTCACCGAGGAGCAGCTGCGGCCCAAGCTTCTGCACTGTGGCCACACCATTTGCCGCCAGTGCTTGGAGAAGCTACTGGCTAGTAGCATCAATGGGGTCCGCTGTCCCTTTTGCAGCAAGATCACCCGCATTACCAGCCTGACGCAGCTGACAGACAACCTGACAGTGCTGAAGATCATCGACACGGCTGGGCTCAGCGAGGCCGTGGGGCTGCTCATGTGCCGGGCCTGTGGGCGGCGACTGCCCCGGCAGTTCTGCCGCAGCTGTGGCATGGTGTTATGTGAGCCCTGCCGGGAGCTGGACCACCAGCCTCCTGGGCACTGTACACTCCCTGTCAAAGAGGCAGCTGAGGAGCGGCGCCGGGACTTTGGAGAGAAGTTGGCCCGCCTGCGTGAGCTTATGGAGGAGCTGCAGCGGAGGAAGGTAGCCTTGGAAGGTATCTCCAAGGACCTTCAGGCCCGGTACAAAGCAGTGCTGCAGGAATATGGCCATGAGGAGCGCAGGATCCAGGAGGAGCTGGCCCGCTCTCGAAAGTTCTTCACAGGCTCCTTGGCTGAGGCTGAGAAGTGCAATAGTCAAGTGGTAGAGGAGCAGAGTTACCTGCTTAATATTGCAGAGGTGCAGGCTGTGTCTCGCTGTGACTACTTCCTGGCCAAAATCAAGCAGGCAGATGTGGCACTCCTGGAGGAGACAGCCGATGAGGAGGAGCCAGAGCTCACCGCCAGCCTGCCCAGAGAGCTCATCCTACAGGATGTGGAGCTCCTTAAGGTTGGCCATGTTGGCCCCCTCCAAATCGGGCAGGCTGTTAAAAAGCCACGAACAGTCAACATGGAAGATTCCTGGGCCATGGAGGCTGCAGCTTCTGCTGCCTCTTCCTCTGTTACCTTTAGAGAGATGGACATGAGCCCTGAGGAAGTAGTTGCCAGTCCTAGGGCCTCACCTGCTAAACAGCGGGGTTCAGAGACAGCCACCAATATCCAGCAGTGCCTCTTTCTCAAGAAGATGGGGGCCAAAGGCAGCACTCCAGGCATGTTCAATCTTCCAGTCAGTCTCTATGTGACCAGTCAAGGGGAAGTGCTGGTTGCAGACCGTGGCAACTTCCGTATACAAGTCTTTACTCGCAAAGGCTTTCTGAAGGAGATCCGCCGCAGCCCCAGTGGCATTGACAGCTTTGTGCTGAGCTTCCTTGGGGCTGATTTGCCTAATCTCACGCCTCTCTCAGTGGCCATGAACTGCCACGGACTGATAGGTGTGACTGACAGCTATGACAACTCCCTCAAGGTATATACCTTGGATGGTCACTGCGTGGCCTGTCACAGGAGCCAGCTCAGCAAACCCTGGGGCATCACGGCCCTTCCATCCGGCCAGTTCGTGGTAACTGATGTGGAAGGTGGAAAGCTCTGGTGCTTCACTGTTGACCGAGGAGCAGGTGTGGTCAAATCCAGCTGCCTCTGCAGTGCTGTGCGGCCCAAGTTTGTCACCTGTGATGCCGAGGGCACCGTCTACTTCACCCAGGGCCTGGGCCTCAATCTGGAAAACCGGCAGAATGAGCACCACCTGGAGGGGGGCTTTTCTATTGGCTCTGTGGGCCCTGACGGGCAGCTGGGTCGCCAGATCAGCCACTTCTTTTCCGAGAACGAGGATTTCCGCTGCATAGCGGGCATGTGTGTGGATGCCCGTGGTGACCTCATCGTGGCTGATAGCAGTCGCAAGGAAATTCTCCACTTTCCTAAGGGTGGGGGTTACAGTATCCTCATTCGAGAGGGGCTCACCTGCCCTGTGGGCATCGCCCTCACCCCTAAGGGGCAGTTGCTGGTCTTGGATTGTTGGGATCATTGCATCAAGATTTACAGCTACCATCTGCGAAGATACTCGACCCCATAAGGAACGAGAAGTGCCAACTCACCAGCCTGCTTTCCTTCCCATACCCCTTAGGTGTTGATGGTACGGTAGAGTAGACTCAGTCTGTGTCCTGTTTCTATTGGCTACTTCTAGAGTCGTGGAAGACTTATCTTTTAGTGCTTTTTTTTTGCATTTTTGTCCTCGAGTTTAGAGCTTTAATAGATGTGATGCCTCAAATAGTACACGTGGTGGAATTAGCTGGTTTTTTATTAGAACTTAGGCACTTCCAAGGCTTCAGTAGTTTTTTTATGTGGTATATGAGGTTGCCCTTGTATTGAATCCTTGTTTATTTTCCTCATTTGGCTTTGACAACCCTGTTCGTTATTTTTTCCCTCTATACTTCCTACTATGCTTCATCTGTGACACTTTCGCTTGAGCTCTGCTGTGCTCACTGTGCAGGCCCCAGCATGCATCTTCTCCACCTTTCACTGAGTTTCAGGCATCGTATCCCTGTGGCATGATGTCTCAGATCTGACCCCAGCCCACTTAACAGCTCATTCACTTAATGCCAGTAGGTGACAGTCTCATCCAGAAGCTGAACCTTTCAGCTCTGAGGGTTTTGTGCTTTTTTAGATTGCTCTCTAAATGCAGATATGCCAGAGAAGGGAGAGGCCCTAGTTGGTTGGCGTTGAAGCCTTTAGTCTAGAAATTGCTTGTCTTTTAGAGGAGCGTGTGGATTGGAACTACACCAAGGAGGAAGATGGGAATAAACAAACACATGCTAAGAAGCAGTGCACACTCTTGGATAGTCTCCAGGGCTCATCATTTTTCATACTCTTCCCCCACTGACCTGTGTGCTAAGAGCTGTCTAAGAAATTGTGCAACACAGGCCAGTGCAGACACCTGGGGAGGTGGACACATCTAATTTTCATGACTAAAACAAAACTGTTGGATCCTGATTCTGTATTTTCCTCAAGTGAGTACATAATTCTTGGTTCAAGAATTTACTTCCATTCTCTGTCAAACATTAAATAATTGATAAATTTCTTCATCATTGGTGTTCAGGCCTTTTCATTTAATGTGGCGCTTGGGAGGGGAGGGTAAGATGTACCACGCTGCTTTGCTCCCCAGGATGACACTGCCTTCTTTGAGGGCATTTAGGATCTCTCCGGTCAAAATTAGGCTGTAAGCACCATTCTCTAAAGAATATCCAAATCTCATTCCCACATTTATACAGAATCAGCCCCAAGGTTTAGAGCCATCAACACCCCATTCTAAATTGAGCCTCCACCATCTGTTTCATCCTTGTAATTACAATTTGTAAAAGGAAAGATGCTTTGTTTAAGAAGACAAGAAGTGGGTGAGAGGACTCATGGCAAGGTTTCTGAGGTTTCTGTGTTTACTTAATAACCTAACTTTCTCTTTAGGTACAGGGCTGATAGCAAGCCAAACACTATTACCTTGCTTTCATGGAAACAAAATTTACTAACCAGAGCTACTCAAATTTTTATTTTTTTTTTTTTATGGTGGCATGGATTTTTTTGCTTTCTGTTGTGATAGCTGCCAAAGGATAGACAGCGAGATAATTAAAGTGATGCTGAACTGGTTTGTCTTGTGCTTTTCACCTGCAGAAAGCCCCAGGTTCTGATTATGAAATTGCATCCGATTTCCAAAGATTGTATAATTGGGAGGAAATTGATCCAATTAAAAGTGCATCACAAATGACTCCACTAGTGATTAGAACCACTTTATCTGGCGGCACCTGGCAGCGGGAGATCTGTCTTTGCTGTCAGCGGGGACTGGCTGAGGCAGTAACTGGCTGAGGCCTTTGGCACAGGGCGTGCAGCAGGGGCATGAATCTAATATTGTGGGCTGGCTTCAGTTAAATGAGGCCAGGAATCTTCTAGCTGCTGGTGCTCTGGGAGAAGAAAGTATCGTCACTGATTGGCCTTCAGCATCAGGACTTCCCCCATCTCCGGCTCGCTCATGCCTTTGCCCTCAAGTACAGTATGTACTTGCTGGCTCCAAGTGGAAACAAGTGTGATCTGAGTGTTTCTGTTTCTTTGATATGGCTGTTAGGCTGTGCTTAGTACAGTCAGTTTTCAGTTATCCTCCATGTTGACTGTATTGCTTACTATCGCTCCAAGAAACAGATTTGCTCAATTGCAGCAGATCTTGTGGTGGTGTTTTTAAGCAGCAGTGCCCTTATTCAAATAGTCTTGCATGCAATTGTATCATGTAAAATATATCAAAGGGTAGCTGCTGTGCTTGAAGCAGGTCTGTGGGCCTGGAGAATAGACTTTATCCCCCCATTTAACCTCCTGTGTACCACTGCAAAATTCTTAGGAATCTGTAGAACACTTCCAGAATCCATGAAACTGTTGCTTTTAGCCAAGTGGCATTCAACAAGTCTCGTTTAGCCCTCTGTCCCCCCCAAATGATGAAAATCCCTGCCCCTAGGAAGTATGTAAGGGGTGAGATCACAGATGTGAAAGCAGGTCGGTGCCTGGCATACTCCGTAAGTTAAGTCTTACTGAGCTGTTCAAAAGTGACAAGGCTGACGGCCACAATAGTACCTCCCCTCTTGCCTATTTGACAGGGTCCCTTTTTGGCATCCAAAACCAGTCTCAGCCATCTCCTCTCAATTAGCCACAAACCTCCAAATAAAGCAATGACTTGTTCCTTTTTACTGGTGCTCTACCTATTCCATGTTTCTATTGTATACAACAGTGCATTGCAATTGCTTACGCACCTATCTGAGCTGTAGTGAAGGCTAACTAACCTCTAGCAATGAGCACATAACCTGGTTCCTAACACAACGTATCTTCAGTTGTTCAATTGGCTGTGATCTGATCTACTTGATGGTGAGGGTGTGTCCTCTAGTAACCTGAGACCTACCACCATAGCCCCCTCCCACTGAATAAAAAGGGGTTCTCAAGCAAACTTCCTAAATATACAAAATGGTAAGAGTCAAAAACTAACAGGTTAGTTAAACCCCTTCTTTATCATCCTGAGTAATTATATGCAATTTAAGTTTTAGGAGCAGTGATTTAATATTGAGTACCTACTGGGGCCAGGTAGCATGCCAGATGTTCAGAATGCAAAGTTTAATGATAACTATACTAATGTGTTGGTATGTATAAATCCTCGTGAATTATTCAGTCTTTTCCATCTAAAGAATTTAAAGTCTAATGTTTTAGTGCCCTGGACTTCCTCAAAGACCCTGGTATTGGCAGGGTCTGAATAGCCATGAGAGTCAGTCCCCAGGAACACTGCAGCCCGAGTTAGTCCACGGAGGGACATTCCATAATTCCAATCAGTAGGATACACTTGGCTTGAGTCTTGCGGTGGTCCTATGGGTAAGGCAGGTAGTGCTTAAGTAGTTGTACTTTTAATCTAGTACAAATTAATGGCCTCTTGACAGTGAAGTGTTACCTAGCTCTGTAGGAGGGAATTGATAGGCAGAGCCCAGTAGGAAGCTCTGGGCTCTACCGTGCACCTGACTAGGCTGTTGATTTTTGTTTTCAGGAGGTGCAGCCCCACAGGGATCTCTAGAATAATTACAGATATGAGGTAGCAGATGCCTGCATGAATTTTACAAGCAAGGCAGTGGTAGAAGGCTGTTTAGTAAAAAATCACACTTAGCCCTATGGCTTCTTCTTGGCAATAATAATATTCATGATCCCCTGCCTAAGTCTCAAGTTAGGAAGCTGATCTGGGACTGGCAATGTAGTCCATTAGGAGGGTCACTAGATCTGGTCTGCATTTGACTCAACAGCAAGCTGTGTGGTGTCAGGTGATTGCCATATCTCTAGGTTACTTTACCTATTTATGAAAGGAGGTTGGTTGGGTGAGATCACTAATATGCCTTTCAGCTCTATGACTTTAATGAAATTTTTAACCAACTGGAGTTGTGGACAGGTTTTCTTCCACTTTTTTGCATAGGTCTTGCTATAATTGTATTCACATTAGAGTAGCAAAAAGAACACATTTCATAATCACCCCCACCTTGGGGACCTGGGTCCCTTACTCCAGCTATCGCCACTGCTGAGCGAGTCACCTCCTCTGGTTAGAGGGATTGGCAATTTATGTTTTGGCTGTGAAAATTAAAAGGTATCAATACCATGGTATGTGTAAAGTACCTCACTCAAAACTGTGAGGTGCTCAGAAAATGGGACTTCCATTGTAAGATGGCAAAGACTTCCTCTTGTGATCTGATGCCAGTTTTTTAGTTTCCCAAGTTAACGTGGAGGAATTTCACGTGTGCTGGTGCTGAGCAGCACTGCTCAGCTCCTTCATTAAAAAACCTACTGGAGGAAGAGTGGCTTGGAGGATCAGAAGGAAAACTCATTCAAGAAATGTGTCCTGCTAGAAAAACTTCACAAAAATCCAAAGACTAGTTATTTGATTATAGTAACTAGGATAGCATCTTGATTCTCTTTGAGCAGTTAAATGGAATGTGTGTCACAGAAACATGCATACTTAGTTATTCCTATAGTTGACTCTCACAAGACATTTTTTCTCCAGGCCATTAACTCAAATAATTAGAAAACTTAACCTGTAAATCTCACTTTTGAAGACGGTAATATAGTATGTGGTGCTTAAAACTTGTTTTAGTTTCATATAAGCATGGCAGGGGCGGGGGGAGAATTCATTCCCAGTTCCCTCCACTTATTCTATGGCCCCTTAACCTTTTAGCCTCAGTTTCCTCCCTAGTAATCAAATGATACTTTTTAACTGCATTATTCTGAAGAAATGATGTCTGTGAAAGTGGATTTCATAAATCATCTGTGACAGGAGACATTTAAAACTTAAACTAAACTACATGAATTTGAAGATTATCTTTCGGTGACAAAAGGATATGAAACTGGTGTGGTAAATTTATTTCCCCTAAAGCAAAATATTTACTAACTTGAAATCTTGATTGATAACTTGGAGAATGTGTGTATAAGACAAATGCATGTTTTTTCTTGACAATTAAAACCAGGATTTTCTTTTGGTGATTTAATTAGTTTACCTGGTTATAATTATAACGATACTGCATATTTTCATGGATTAATAAGTTCCAAAATTTTATCCGTTCATTTACACATTAAACATGAGTTATCTAATATTTATTACTATTAGCAGTAATTATATTAGTAATGAATGCAAAGATAAATCAGTCATGAATCCTGTAATCAGCTTGTCATCTGGCTGGAGAAAGTATTTAAGAAATAACAAATGGGCCTGCCTGGTGGACAGGGGTTAAAGTCAGTGCTATCAGCGATGGCCAGCCACTGGGGCATGAGTGCCCACATGAGTGGCACAGCAGACCTCTCTTGTCTCCCTACTGCTCCCCTCAGTAGTGTAGTTCAGTAGATCCGCCTATTCTGCTCCCCGCTCTGTCTCTGGTGAATCATCTCACCTGCATTTCTGGCCTATACTTTGGTTCTTGCATGCATAATAAAAATCTTTTTAAAAAAATAAGAGATAAGAGTAAGAGGAATAGTGCAAGGTAGAAATGGAGTACCGTGTGTTACAGAAAGACTTTCTAGTTGAGGGGATCTGGCTGCTGAAAAGCCCTGTGAGTCTAGGGACCATAAGGTCAGAAGCGCGGCATTAGAGGGAACAGTGAGAAGTAGATACCAGTAGGAAGTTCAAATCCCATGAGGGTGAGAATGCATTTAAGAAATTCAAAGATCCAGGCCCTCCCTGGTGGTGCAATGGTCTAAAGTGCAGCACTATGAGGTTGTCTGCAGCCACTGCAGCACAAGTTCAATCCCCAGTCAGGGAGGTGATCCACATGGCGCGGCAGACCTCTCCTGACCTGCCCGTTGTTCTCCTCAGCAGTGTATTTCAGTCAGTCTGCCTGTTCTGCTCCCCACTCTGTCTCTGGTGAATCCTCTCACCCCCTTCACCTCTGGCCTGTAACCCAGTTCTGTATACATAAATAAATAAACCTTAAAAAAAATTCAAAGATCCAATGTGGTCCATTTGCCTATGACCCTTTCAGGAATCGTATACACGGTTCTATTTTTCTGCCCAGAGCAATAATAGCACATTGCTATC